CAGTTTGATCATTAACTTCCTTCTCTGATGCAGTTTCCAGTTTTCCATTTACTCCCTCAGAGGCCCAAACCTTCCCTGCGCTCATCACGTTCATGAAAGTTTATCTTAAAGGATCTAGAATTTATTTTTAAACTTTCAAACGAACAGCCAGCCGGTCGTTTCTCTTTGCAGCTGAACCAACAGTGGTGGCAGCATCATGCACAGTGTCTGGTCTGAACTTGTGCAGGAAAATGGAAAACTGTATATTTTTGTAATTCAATCTATATCAAATATCATAGTTATATATTTATCATATAATCCATATAACTTTGTTTCTGTGACAGGATCCAAACGGTTCTCTGGACTGAGCCAGCTAACAAAGGCTCATGTTTAAATATTCATCATCACCATGTGAGGGAATCAGATAAGTGAGCTCAGCAGAAACGCTGAGGTCAGAGGTGAGCCATGTGGGTCATGTGACCGCTGGGACAGGAGCCAAGCTGGACAGAAGAGAAACTCCTGCAGGATGTTAAACCAGCTGCTGGTGGAATGGCAAAAATCTCAGATATGAAACTAAATATATTCAATATACCTGCTGACTGGGTTTTAAATGTAAGGAAAAACTTCATTTAGATTAAAAATATCTAGGTTTTTTTTTTTACAAGCTCCTGTGAAAATATTATCTTCTTTTTTCTGGTCAAGCAGAGAAAAAGCAGCTAAACTATTTCCTATATCATCAAAAACAAACGGTCCTTTGTTGCAACTCAGTTGGATTGGTTCTGACTGGTTCTGTTGAAGAACAATTCAATAAAAACGTTGCTGTTTGCAGCCTGGACCAGCAAGATGTCGAAGTCTGTTTCTGGCAGGGAAGTCTGATGTTTTCTGCTCCTCTGCAGGATGGAAAATAATCATCATCTAGTGACTGAAGGAAGCTCGGAAAAACAGAAAACAGGAAGAAACTGCAGCTGGTATCATCAACCCAAGATTTTCTAAAAACTAGTTTCAATAATCAAAGAACAATCAAAGCAATTTAAAAAGTAGTGCTAATAATAATAATAATAGCTTCATGGCTAAATTGTTGAAATGCAAGCTCTGCTTATGAGTAGAATATGAATACATATGAATATTTAATTCCTGACGAATTGTTATGTCCCAGAAAACTAGCATAGCAAGCAATAAAACAATTATATTTACAATATTAGTTGTAATACAAAATAGGGGACTTTAAATAAGCGTAAAAGCAGCCAGTAAGTAGAAACACACAATCATAAAATGTGGAAAACTACTGATCAACACCATTTTAAAATATTAAAATGGAGAAATAAAATAAAATAAATAAACAGGCCATGGAATACCTGATGGTAATGTCTAATATCTTAACATTAACATTCCTCAGAATGCCTGGTGAATCTTTCCAACTATTCCCCAGATTTATGGAAACATAACATTCCCATTGAAGCAGAAACAAGCCAACCTGTGTCAGGACCCGAGGCCTGTTCAACACATGATCTGCCTCATTCATTGAGCCTGTTGGGCTGTCCAGCCACAGAGTGCAGACAGAAATCCGGTCAGACTGGTTCTGTCACGCAAAACCACAGCAGCTTACAAACTGGTGCAGCTCTGACACGTTAAACTGGGCTAATCTCCGAGTTTATGAGGAGCAACAGTTAAAACCAGCCCAAACCCAGCAGAGCAGGAGCCAATTAAAAGACATTCCTGATCAGATTATGAACTGCTGTGTTATTTTCTTACTTCCAAATCCATACATTATATTTCATGAACACAGTACAGACGCCACAGATACACCTTAAAGCTTCAGCAACACGCACAGACATGTCAAGAGATTAAAACGCTGCTTTAAAACAAGCTAAGGCCACACACCGTCCAGTAGCTTGGAGCTAACTTCTTAGCTAACCATTTAAATGCCTCTCGGCTCCCCGTCGGCTCATAAAACACGCAGGTTGTTCAGTTTGAAAGCTTACCGCGCTCACAACTTCATGAAGAACCCGCCCGAGTCAACACCTGGTCCAGAAGAGTCCAGCAAAGTTACATTTTATTACATTTAGAGTACAAATCTTCAACGGGACAGAGGTCTCGCACACATTTGTCAACAGTCTGAGAAATGTCTGCGCATGCGCAGTTCGAACAGGAAGAAGAAACCTTTTTATGCTTTTTTCATCAGCAGCAACAAAAAGAGATATCTCCAATAAATTATATTCGCATGGATCTAAAATGCATATCACCTTGATACAGGTAAGGAATAAAGTCTTCTGTTCTGTTGTCATTTGTTTTTCCTGCTATTTTTTTTCTCATTCATAACGTAATACATGAATCAAAGAAGCAATATTTTCCAGGAGAACTACGTAGATATCATTTCCGGTTTTGCTTCCAACCTAAGAAGATTAAAAACATTTTTGAAATTGCCTCCTTTTCATGTGAGTACACAATGAGAAAGTGGATTACTATACTATTATTTTATTAATTATTTTAAAAATGCCTCCTTGTTTTTCTTACTTTCAAAAATATAAACGTAAGTAGATTTGTTCACGTTTTATTGTACTCTAAACAAAATGAATCAGCTATTCCTCTTGGATCTTTAAAGACGAGGGACAAAAACAATAGTAAATTGATATAAAATGAATGCATAATGTATTTTCCTTCGTCAGCATCCAGTCCTGCAGCTTTGACTGACAGAATGGTGAGTCTGGTTGCCTTGCAGTATCAGAGGCAGTTTTGATTTATAAAATTGGGGTAAATGAGATGGTCAGCCTGTTCCATGGGCCTGCAGAGAGTCGTTTCAGTAGGGGATGTGATTAACTTCCTTTCCACCATTAAATACTAATTGCTTTTCTGCACCATTAGAGTGAAAATATCTTTTTGGGTAAAATTTGTCTTTCCTTTCCTCATTAGAAGCTTCGTTTGGTTGGTAAATCAGTGAGTGAATTATTAGAGTTCCACTTTTCTGGTTGCTCCGTAAACTTCGCCGGGGTTCTTCTCCTGCATATTTTGTGCTATTTTCACCATTCAACTTTTATACTATTCATTTTGCTCTCCTAATGCTGGCTATATCGCTTGGTATTCATAACCTTCATACTTTTTATAATATTCAGCTTTTTATAAATTTTTCACCCCTCGGGGGAAACTGCTCCATCCTGTGGCAGAATTGAGAATTACAACCATTCATCTAGTTTCAGGGCTGTCATGGAGGAAACAAGGCAGCAGCCATTTTGAAGTTGGCAGTTTAACAGCTTTTATCCTGTTTAACACCTGGGAATAATTAGAGCTTTTTTCATGCTGCATGTGGGATGTTTTTTGTAGTCTCTGTGCTAAACGATGCCTCCAAACAAATGTTGGTATCTCAGGAACCATGAAAGGTTTGGATTTCATTCACCCTCATTCACCCTCCGTTTTTATCAGAAGGAATTTTAGACTTTACATGAGGTTTTTTTTTTACATTGCATGGAATATATTACTGTAACCAGCATGCTAGTGGTAGCCTATTTGCTATCATTCGTATTTAGCTGGTTTTAGCTTTTTAGCTAATTTTGGTTTTTACCTGGGTTTTTCACGCTGCATGGACTTTTTCTTACTTTTCTGCAAGTCTTCAGCAGGTGGCTTCAAACGTTTTTGCCGTTTTCACCAAAAGCATTCAGCATTCACATTTGCATTTCCTTAGGAAACGCACACTTTCTAGTTCTGGATTGAGTTTCTGATTGCAGTTGATGGTCCAGAAACACTCACAGCTGCATCACCCTAAGAAACCTGACCAAAGCCTGATTTCTTGGCCTTCTAATCTCGCCTCCTAATCTTAAAAATAAGTGTGGAAGTAAAAGGGCGTCTCTCGTTAGCGTCTGTGTGAAGCCAGCAGATATAATGCTGGCAGGTTAAGGAGCCTTGCAGGCTAAGAATAGTCAGTCTAAATCAATACAGTAAAAGCCCCCAGAAGGTCTTCATGAAGCGACTGGAGGATCGTTTGGATCTGCAGTCTGATTCCTGTGAACACAGAAACTAACACATCAACCTGTTACACTGATGGGAATCTGGGGGGAAAAACATTAAAATCATAAATGATGAGAAAGTCGAGCGTAAAGAGAATCAAACTGGTCATTTTTCCAAAGGTTTCATTTATTTTTCAGTAAAAGTCTAATGAAGAGTTTGAGCAGCTAAAAATTACACCAGCTACTCATCATCACCCCAGTTTTATCATAGATTTTTCTAAATGAAGCTTTGAAACATTTCAGGTAAAAAACATGTTGTGATAATTTGTTTAAATCAGGCACAGAGTGAAAAACAGTTTCAGACCAAAGTGAAAACCATCTAAAGTATAGCTACAGTTATTTTCTAGTCATATTTCCTTTTAACATGACGACAAATGAAATCAGAAAAAATGTCAAGGTGTTTTCAGAGTCCAGTTTGGTCACTGACCTCAGAAATACATTTTATAATATTTCTGATTTTTGTAATGTCCATTTATGTGTTTGCAGAAAAATATGTGTGCATCTGAAAGTGAATAAAACCAAAATATCCTTAAATAAAATAAAGTTGAGCTGCCTGACTTAAGGGCTTGTAGTTTGGGCTCTACAGACTCCTGGATTCAGGTGTTCATATGGGTCGTCTGACAACAGACGCTCAGCAAAAGAGACAAAATGTGGTTCAGAAAGTCGTACAATAAAAACATCAACCTTCCATGATGGAGGAAGGTTTTACTTTTTAAAATGTGAGGCCACAACAGTGTAAAAAGGCATTTTTAAGCCTGTAGTTGTCAGTTACAGATTGCTAGATTTATCCAAACTTGGAGATTTCCAAAAGTTCAAGCAAAAGTTCAAGCAGTGGGAGGAATAAGCTTCAAATGAGACCGAGATCAAAAGGCTTCTGCCTGAAAAATGAAAATGGGTCGATCCAAAACGTTTGGCCAGCTCTGCAACGGTTCAGCAGACAGAATCAACTTTCCTACTGAACAGAGGAACAGCTGGAGATCCTCTATCTGGACACTCCAACCTGATGGACTGCCGGTTGAAAAACCTTTTTCCATAAAAACAGAACCTGAACATTAAGGCTGGCCGTTGAGGTTTAATCCAGTGTGTATGTTGCTGAAATGTTCTTCATGATGGTCAGGCTGAACATCCCCACAGTCTGGAGGACTCAGGTCTTCTTCTCCTGGTTCTTAATGAACCAGGTTTTAGGCGCCAAGTCCAGTCTGAGCTGCTCCATGAGCCACGGATCCTTTTCTGCTCCCTCAATAAACTCCTCCAAAGATATCTGACCTACAGACACAACACAAAGTTCAAGAGGTCACACTGAACGGAAACGATACTGTTCATTTAAAATGGGTCGTCTTCCTCCAGGTTTTCACTTACTGTCTTTGTTTTTGTCCGTCAGCTCAAATATCCTGTCACAGATGCAGTCGACAGTTTCTGCGTTCGAATCGTTATGCCATTTGATTTTGGTGATGATCTGGAGAAAAGGAAACATGGTTATGTCAATATTTGAGCAAACATTTCCATGGTTTTGGATGAAAATTGTGAAAATGTTCATTTCTATAAATTAATTTATTTTTATAATTTCTCTAAAAGATGATGGAGATGCAAAGATGGTCCCTGCATCTCTGCCAATTTTTCTTAATTGGGTTTCTGCCAAAAGTTGCATAACTAACTTTTTTTTTTTCTGGTCATAGTTTGAGATGTTTAGATGGCGGCTTTGCAACAATTTGTCTCCAAAACAGCAAAACGCCAGCAGCTCTGAAGTCAAACAACAAATAAAAACCCAGACGTTATTTAACTTCAAAACCATATTTTCATACATTCATAAGAGACATTTACCACTGTCTTTACTACCATGTTTCCCAGCCTGCAGGTTGTAAAGTGAGGAGGATTATCTGGAGTAAACAGCTTCTCTCTGCTTAAAATACTCCAGAGTTCACAGTAGTTTAAGCTCAACCAGCTTCATGTTAAACTTCTAACGGCTCCAAAAGCTTTTCCTGAAACAAGCAGTTTCTAAAACTCACTTTGATAATACGCCTCACTTCGTGATTGGTCAGGCAGCCGTTCCCATCGTTGTCGTAAATTTTAAAAGACCACTTCAGTTTGTCGATGAGTTTTCCACGAAGAACGAGGTTCACAGCTGCCACATAATCCATGAAGTCCAACTTACCATCCTAAACAGAACCAGGAGAGATACTCTGTGGATTACTGAATCCTAACCCGTTTACCACACCGAAACACACGTTACCTTATTGGTATCAAAGGATTTAAAGACAAGTTCAATGAAAGCCACCTCCTCCTCTGATGATTTGCTGCTGACGCCAAAGATTTTCTTGAATTCATGCAGGTGCAGGTTTCCACTCGGACATTCATCTGTGAATTTCCGGTACAGTTCCTGAATGTTCTGCAGAGTCACTTCTGTGTCTGTGGTGGCCTGGACCTGACCCATCGCTTCAGGCAGGAGGCAGCCAGTTATGGAGCAGGAACATCACAGCGTGGCCATCAGGAACCCACCGGGCTGCTCGGACCTTTCCAGAACAGCTTCCTTCAGGAACACCTGCTGATCAGATCCACTTATATCCCAAACAAATCCCAACCTCTAAGGAAAGACTTCTGGAATATTCCCTAACTATTCCTTCTCCACCATGTAGTGAAATAAAGTAGGGAGGCTAATCTGCAGAGTGTTTGACTGCGGAGAGGAGCAGAGCTTAAAAGGCTGAATCCATCAGAGCGTAAGCGAGTGTTTGGCGATGTGTTGATCCGATGAGGAGGCGGTTTACCTGGCCTGACCTGGCAGGAGAACAGAAAACAGTGTGTGACTGGAGCAGCACAGATCTAATCAGCCTCTAAATGTAGAGGCTGCAGAATCAGACCTGAGTTTCACATCTTTGTTGTTTGATCGCTGAATTGTAAATCGATATTAGTTTAACTGACTGAGAAGCTTAAAATATCCCATCATGTTTCTACAACACACAGAGACTTGATCAGGTGTTTTTATCTCCAGTTGAGATGTTTTCTTTTTCATTCTTCCCGCACTTCCCAGTTCCAACCACCAGATGTCCTCAGTTGTTTTCCAGTCTGATTTTATAATCAATAATCAAATCCCACAATCAATTAAAGCAGAGAGAAAAGACTAAACGTAGCTCTTAGTGTTTTTTATCTAAATTAACAGATGTGTAATCATTTCCAGGGTATTTGTTAGAGCAACTTTGGTCAAATATTTTGGGTTTCCTTTCAGAAGTTTCATCGTCTACAATTTTCTCATGTAAAAATCTGAATATTAAGAACATTTTTTAAGATTTTTATTGAAAATCTCCCAGTTTTTCTAATAGTTTTTGGTCCAAAACAGAAGTAAAACTGAAAAGGTTTGGTCTGATTGAATGTCAGGTGGTGAGAAAACCCATCAGTGTCTTTTTAATGAATTCTCATTTTAAAAGCTTCCTCTGTTTTGAGGATCGGCTGGAATACCAGGCAGGTTATAGTAAAAACTTGAGGTGCGTCCTGGGACGTCCCAGCAGGTTAAAGGTAACCTGTAGGTAACCTGTAGGTATCTTTAACCTGCTGATCCGGTTAACTCTGAGTCCTATTCTGGTTCCCTGGTCCAGTTAAAGTCCCTCATCCTCACAGCAGGAGTCAACATTCATTTGTTCATTTTAGCTGAAGCATAACATGAATCTGTAATTTAAAGTTGTATTCACGTTCTCATCCTCACACTGACAGCCTGGTTAGATAAAAGAGACACAGAAACGTTCCAGCCTGGAAGTTGGTAAGAAATCAGAAGAGCCTTAATGTTACGAAGCTGCTTCGTCTTAATGTTGAGATGAGGAGAGAGAAAAACATGTTTTTAATTAATTAAATGATGCAACAGGAACTGAGGTGATTTTAATAATCAAGTGATTTATATCATCTCTTATAAAACCTTCAGTACTTTTTCCAAAGTCAATGTTCATTTTGCAGAAGGTTGTCAGAGTAAACTACAGGATATAAAAGCTTTTAACATTTTACCCTAAATCTACAATCAACACTTTCAGATCAAGAAATTTAAATATTTTTAATTAAAAGTGATTAAATCAGCTGTGAGCACCAAGACTTCAGCTTTTCAAAGCATTTACAAAGTTTCATCACTTCCTGTTTCACAGTCAATGGAATAAAATATTCCAAGCTGAGTATATGAACAACACAAAATAATAATATTTATTCATTCATGTATTTGTGGCCTGGAAGTACATTTGACTTGACTATTTTGACCCATGTAATTTCCTCAGCATTACAGAAAAACGTCAGCAGAGGGCAGCAGACTGATTTCTACCCCATCAAAAACTGACTGGTTGATAACATTTTATTATTTATTAACCTTTATTTCACCAGGAAAATCCCATCAAGATAAAAAAAAAAATCTTTTACAGGAGAATCCTGGCAAAGACCGGCGTCGGCTTACAGAAGATTCACAGCAAAACAGGAAAAGTGAATAACAAACAAAGTATTTCAAAGATTACAGCTTCACTCCGTGTTATCAAGAAAGACACTGGTTGCTGAAACCTCAATCAGTGTGAAAGTGATGAAAAGTCTGAGAAGTGAGGCTGAAATGTTGGTGAGACATTTATTCATGATGTCTCTCCACAAACAACATTATCTTGTCACTAATAGACATCTCACGAAGTTCAGTCAGGTGTCAGTCCAAAATGTGGACTCACTGGCGATGTAGCCTTATGGCAATTCAGTGACTTGGTTATGTGATTTACTGTATTTATAATTTTCTTTTTATTATTGTATATTTGCTTTTTGTTTTTTGTTTCTTCTTTTACTCTATGGACCTATTTTTGCGTCTTTAAATAAAGTTGATTGATTGATTGATTTATGAAGTAAACATGTGCATTAGGTCAAAAATGGACAATTAGTTTCAAACCTCATGATGAAAAATCACTTTTTGCTAAATATGCGAGTCAAACGAGGTACCAGTAGATTTATTTCAAGAGGTTAGATTTTATGCAAGAGTTTAACAGGGTAATGAGCTTAGTGCCTCCAGGAGAAACTGGCCGTGGTGCCAAATCTTTACATGACCTGAGTGAGTCAGTTGGAGCGGACAGACGGCCAGAACCTCCTGACTGTTGTAAACTCTTCACTTTGTTTCATAGCCTGCAGCTATGAAACAAGAAAAAAGCAGCAACGATGAGGGGGATGTGGCTCGGATTCAGGAGATGTGCCTCATTTTTCTGAGGGAATGTCCCAGCGGCGCCCTGCATCTACACGAGTTCAAGAAGATCTTCGGCGTTCAGAGCAGCTCGCCGGAGGATTCCCTCTTCCTAGAGACGATCTTCCGCTCCTTCGACACAAACCAGGTGAAGGATTGCTCTGCCTGCCAGGAATCAGGTTCATGGTGCGGTTTGTGTAACTCTGCCTGGTTTATCCACAGGACAACACGCTGGACTTCATTGAGTACGTCGCCGCCCTTAACTTGATCTTAAGAGGAAATCTGGAAGATCGTCTCAAATGGTCCTTCAAGATGTACGACCGGGATGGGAACGGAAAGCTGGACAGGAACGAGGTGAAGCGGCTCATAAGGGTGAGGAAAACCTATTTTATCCAAAAGTTATTGACAGAAACGTCTGATGGGAGCAGAGATACAACGGTGACGAGTCAATCTGTGAAATATTAACAAGGTTTTCTATAGCAGGAATCTCCTAAAGGTGGACTTTAGAGCCCCAGTAATCTGGGATTAGGGCAGGAGGCTAAGGTCATGTCAAGTGGCTCCATTGACAGAAAAAGAGTTGATCAGTTGTGATCCTAAACACCTTTAACCTGGAGATCAGGTGGTTAAACGGCTCAGGTGTCCTGGGCATGGCGGGGCTGGGTCAGGGTGTGCAGACCACCTAATCTGGGTTATGAAGGGAAACTTCAACTCTGCTACTGGGGATTGACAGGCTGGTTTCTGAGTTCATGAAGAAATACTCAGTAAGCTTCATATTGTTGAATTGGCGGGTTCCATTTGTCGTGGATAAATGTTGGCGGTTGGGTAAAACTTCAGCAGAGTCCAGGAAGGAGTCGCTTCATCCGGACCCGAAGCACCTTTAACCCTTGGACGAAGCGAACTGGACGGTTTTTAGATGTTTTCCTTCTCTTTTAGCTTTTCCCCAGGAGCAGTGAATCCTCTCTCTCCATTCAGTCCTATTTTATTTGAAGCAGATTTTACTCATTTTATTTATTTGCTTATATTATTACAGTTTTAGAACTTATCCTGCATTCACTTTTGATGCTCAGATGTTTCAGTTTTGCTTCTGTTAAGGTTGAGTTAAAATTCCTGCATTCTGACATTTTTCTGACAGATTCTTCATAAAATCAAACTCCAGAAGAGCGAAGTCAGACTGACTCCGTCCCAAATCTGTGATCGGATCTTTGATCTCGTTGACGACAACAACGATGGTAGGAGAACAAATTCAGGCACAGCTCCAAAAATTAGAGCATCATGAAAAAATTAAACATTTTTTACTAATTAGTTTAGAAAAGCTAACTCATGGTTTGTGTAGATTCATAGACAGATGGAAATTTTCAAGCCTTTGTTGTTTGTAATGTTGATGATTCTGGCTTAGAGAGAATTAAAACCCAAAATTCAGAGTCTCTGAAAATTTGAATATTACATCAAATCAATAAAAATCATATTTAAGCAGAAATTTCCGACTTCTGAATGTTTATTCCTATAAACTTTCTCTACGTGGTCTGGGCTCCTTTTGCATGATTTTATTTTCTGACTCCAGCCTCAGTCGCTCTTTGTGAAATTCCCAGATTCCTGAAGGGATTTTGCTTGACAAACTTCTCAAGGCTCCAGTTATCTGTTGTTGATGCACTTTTTCCTTCCACTCAACTTTCTATCAATATGCTGTAACCTTTTCCACAATATTCTACTTTTCTGACACACAAAATATTAGGTTTTCATTCTCTGTGATCCAGAATCATCTAAATAGTAAGAAATAAAGACTATAAATATTCCCTCCATGTGTAATGAATCTATAAATGAGACAAAATATCTTGATGATGTTTTTTATGTACCAGGATTATTAAAACGATGCTGCAGGCTGTGTTTGATCCCCAGAGAGCTTCCAGGAACACATTATTATTTGGTTTTCTCTGGTTAAAACCAGCTTGTTGCGACTCGTTCGTCTGTAAAATGAGCATCGTACTGACAGTGGTTTTGGTCTCTGTGCCCTCAGGTGAGATAACCCTGAGTGAGTTCATGGAAGGAGCCCAAAAGGACCAGTGGCTCATGGACCTCCTCAATCTGGACGTCAACACCTCCGGCTGGGTGACCCAGAACTGCAGAAAGCTCCCATGATGCCTTGCAGTGAGAGCAGCGTCTTCATGTTTAACGTCTGGAGAGGAATAACTGTTCCTTTGGTTAAAAATGATTCGCCCTGCGGTTCTGAACCGCTCTGAGTCTGGAGCCGGACCTCTTAATGTGGCAGAGGTTCTGCTGGGCCGGTCCGATAGACGGCCTGTGATTTCTGTCATCAGTTACAAACAAATCAACTGCTAAATATCCACATTTATCAGATTTCATTCTCAATAGATCTGCTCTGTTTGGATATTTACTGTTATTTTCAGATCTTCATAGAGATTCACTGAAGTCATGAATATTTTAAAGAGTCATTTTAACACTGTTTAAGTTCCTCGGTGGTTAAAACTGAAACGTTTTCAAACGTGTTGCATCCAGAAGCTGCAGATGTTCAGGAACTATTGGATCCGATGTGAAGGAGGGAGCAGAGATCCAAACACAGTAACATTCACCTGGGATGAAGAACCAAAAAACCCAAAACCCTGAGAAGTAAAGTCTTCATGAGCAGAGAACCGACCGGCTTCATTTTAACCCTGACATCAGACAGACTCATTGAGACCAGATGAACAAACTCAGTAGACTGAAAAAACTGATTTATTGTACAAATTTGCATGTTTACACAGACAGTTGAGAAGTTTTGGACCCATCATTATTATAACGCGGTAACATGGCTGAGGATTGGATTTCAAAGTAAAATAAAGTAATTTCAACACAATCTGGTAAAATTCTACATCATTGATTAAAATCTGATTTTATGATCACATGATTGAGTGAGATGGGTTTCTGAACGTGCAGTTTGGCTGAAAAATAAATAAAAATGAATAAAAAACAAACAAACAAACAAACAATCACTCAACTGCTGCAGCCGGTCAGTGAAACGACTCCTGCAGCCTAGAGCCCGTTCCTCTGCTCCAGACAAAACGACTCCTGGATGCTTTTCCAGCTGGGATCTAGGCGGTTCCAAACTGAGCCAGATCACTCAGCTCTACGTCACCAAACTCCTCCCAGGGGCAGATCACGGCGGCGTCTGCAGGGAAACAGAGCAGGCATGAGGGAACAGCTCAACACCACCAGGGTCCAGGCTGAGTTTGACCCTCAGACTCACCGTCCAGCCCCTCCATCCCCGGCAGAGCGCTGTCAAAGCTGGAACAGAAGTAAAAACTGAATTAGAAAGAGAAGAAAACCCTGAAGCTGCGTTGGGAAGATGCTCCTCACCCTTTCTGTCCCGGTTTGGGAGCTTTGCTCTTAAACTGTCTGCTGTCCTTCTGCTTGAGCTCAGCTGGACTCGGCTTACGGACCTCAGATGATGCATTCATGTTCTCCACTGCGCATCAGAAAAACAAAACATTTCATAAGTAAACAGGAATCTGTGGCACATTAGAAGAAGTTGGTTAAATTCTGCTGTATAATCTGAAAGAACAGAGAATGTAAGTAAACATAAATCTGATTAATAATATTGAATGGACTTACTTGCTCTCCAGATGTTAGAGATGTTTCTCTTTGCAGACCAGATAAGAAGTAGCTGCAAGACAAAGGAGTCTTCTTTCTTCTTGCTGTCTCGGTTCTCCTCGTCCTTCTCTCTGCTTTTATACCCTGCAGAGATCAGCTTCCCTCAGCGCTCAGGCCGATTACGTCTTATGACTAAGCCTCATTAATTCAAAATGCCCACAGCAGCTTGTTGGGACTCTTTGTTTATGAAATGCAGAGACTCAAAGACAAATCAAATTAGGATTTTATTTCTTTCATGGGAAACATGGTGGCCAGTCGGGAACATTGCTGCCCAGTCTGGGGTCTTTCTGCATGAAGTGGTCACTGGGGTCACTGGGGTCACTGGGGTCACTGGAGTCACTGGGGTCACTGGGGTCACTGGGGTCACTGGGGTCTCTCCAGGTACTCTGACTTCCTCTCTGTTCTCCTTAAACTGAGTGTTTTCATGGTTTTCTGTCCTGTGAAAGTCATTCTGATTTAGTTTCTACTTGGAGGTATTTATGTTCCAGTGTTTTACCTTGCAGTTGTTCTCCACTTTAATTGATTAAAATGAAGCGCGGCTGACAGAATCGTGGTTGAACGGCTCGTCTCATAACAGGATGAGTCACAGATAATAAACGTTGCATAACAAGGATCATGTCCAAATCTGCAGGTGGGTGAATCAGCCTCAACCTTTCAACAGCATCTGCAGATACACGTGTGTGTGTGTGTGTGTGTGTGTGTGTGTGTGTGTGTTTGTTACATCTTCATACGTTGTTTCAAATGAGCGAGCGTTACCGAATCCTCTTTCCGACACCTGTGCTAAATCACCTGTTCAGCTTTACTGGTGCTTAGAAGCAGCATCACACAGAGTGATGCCATATCTCTCATATGATTAAATGATAAAATAAACAGCACTAAATCTTTAAAGTATTTTTGACTTTAAATTAGAAAATAATTTTGAAAACTCAGCATCTCAGAAACAACTGTTGTTAAACTAAAACAGCAACTAAATTGATTTAGAAATATTTGCAAAAATTGGCAACATTATCAAGGATCTCCTGGTTAGCTCGCCACAGGATGTAAAACGATGAGCTGAATGACACAGACATGGTTCTTTAGTACGAAGTGGTGAAGGGATCATATTTACACAATGCGCAGCTGTTTATCCTACTATAGTCAGATGGTTTTAAACCCAGACGTGGGGCTGAAATGTCGACACCAACCCAGCTGGACTGGAACAGGAGAAATGAACTGCAGTTGCCACCTGTCAACCCACAGGGGGCAGCACTGAGATGGTTTTAGGCCAAATATTAAACATATTTACATAAAAATGTCTCAGTTTGTACAGAAACATGAAAACAGCAACTTAAGGAACAATTTGTAGAGTTTATCTGCAAAACAAGTTGTTTGGGGTTTATTTATTCTTTAAGGTCTGATCAATAATCAATAACCGGTAGAGAGGAAAGCCTGAGGAAGCTGACATGCTATGTTCAGTCAGAAAAACAGAGAACATAGTGATTCTGTTGGGAGAGATTAAGGAGAAATGTGCTTGTTTTCAGGTAAAGACAACATCACTACAGTGTGTCTGTTCACACAGTTAACAATGCATCATAAACAGCAGACATGATGGTTTCTGTCTGATGAGCTCCAGTCATCTGAGATGCTTTTCATCAGGACTGAATCTGGTTGAATCTCAGTTAATCCACCACAGTTTCTCTGGGATTAGCTTTAAAATCTGCTCTCATCAAACTTTACCTGCAGCTCATCTTTGCTGAACTGGTGCAACATTTCTATTTGTCAAATAAAATCAGAAAATTGGGAGCTTGATCCAAACCCTTACATCCGGGGTCCCCAAACGTTTTCCGGTGAGGGCCACATAACTTCTCCCTTCTCTGGTGGGGCCCGGAGTCAGTTTGTAACAGAAAAAGTGTGACGATTGCAGGAGTTCCTAAATGTAAAAATTTCTTGTTTTCCAGAAAGCACAATCAAATACCCTCTCTGGGTTCTTCGCAGAAAAAATCCAGGAAATAACACTATTTATGAAATAAATACTTTATTTTCCAGACTACAAGCCAGACTGGACTATAAGCCGCAACCCCAAAGTTTTTTTTTTTTTAAAAAAAACAGTAAACATACACATATAAGCCGCAGATTTCTCTGCTGCTCCAGGTTTTCCACAGCGATGCAGCAGCAGCAGGGGGGGGACAGCCAACATTTGAGTCATAACAGGTCAACTGAATATCACATTTATTACAGTTGAAAAATAAAAAGTTGCCAAGTTTAGATTTAACTGAACTGATTACAGTAATTTACGAATGGAAACAGTAAAAGTGCTGATCCTTCGTGTTGCTACTAGCATGTGCTAAATGAAAATGGGCGCTTCCTTCTTCTTCTTCTTCTTCTTTAGATTTGAACAGCAGCTTGCATCCATTATTGTTGCACTACTGCCATCTACTGGATCCTAATATCTATACCTCAAATTCTCATGTTGATCCCAGTATTATTTTTAAAAAACTGAAAAATCTTTTTCCCCTCAATGCCATTTAACTGATCAACAACATTCTCAAACTTCAATTCCCTATTAAAACCTAATTCCGTTTTAATGGGCGCTTTCTTCTTTTATTTCCAATTTTGACTTCAAATGATTCACTTCCTGCTAAAGAGCCCCCTGGTGGTTGAAGAAAAATCCACATATAAGCAGTTTATAGTCCAGTTTATAGTCCAGAAAATACGGTATACGAAAAAAAATCTAAATGCTCTCTGGTATTGTTCAGGGGGCCGGACCAAATGTGGAGGCGGGCCGGATCCGGCCCGCGGGCCGTAGTTTGGGGACCACTGCCTTACATACTTTGTTCCTTCTCCCTTTTTGTAACTCCTGACTGAAAATATAACCTCCATTTAAAGAATGAGGGAATATTTGACTTTTATAAAAATATTCTTTATTTTCTCTTAACTTTCCTGAAATATTTATTGGATGGGAGCAGGAATTTTTTTATCTTTACTGAAAAAAAGACCCCAAATTTCTGACTTTATCACGTCTTTTTTAAAATATAGTTTTTTCCTTTTTTGTACTTTGGAAGAAACACAAACAGTCAGCAAAATTCAAGGTCAGTGACTGGATGTAATAATAATCCTAAAAGAAACAAAACTCAATGATTAACATTATTTTATTTAAAATTGTAAACTTGGACAAATGTTTGAGCTTTTGTGTGAAATACAGCAGAATAAATGAGAAGATTGAAGGTAGAGGTAATTCTCTATTTTATTACATAATATAATTAATATATTCAACAGATTTTAATAATCCTCTCTTCAGACAGACAGATTATTATATAATATTATGTATTTTTTATCGGAAGCAGCTGCATCAACTATCAGGAACTGGTAAGGCTCTGATGAGTTATTATATAATAATCTGATGATCATAAACTTTTATGTTTTATTTGTAACTCCATGTTTTATTATTATGCTTGTAGATCTGTGGTGTTTCTGCTCCTCATCCTCAGGATGAAGGGGAACAGCAGGAAGTCTTCCTCGGCTCTAAACGGTTCCAAACTGGGCCAGTTCGCTCAGCTCCACGTCTCCGTATTCCTCCCAGGGACAAACCACTGCAGCGTCTGCAGCAAACCAACGAAACCAGTTAAATGTTTCACAGAAACCATCAAATCCACTGGGAACGCTGCAGTAAACTCACCATCCAGGCCTTCCATGGCCGGGTCGTGGCTGTTGACTCTGTTTTCAGGGAGACAGAAACGTTTCTCACTCTGCTGCTGATCATTAACTTCCTGTCTGAGGTCAAAGTTCATCTCACCCTTTCTGTCCTCGTTTGGGAGCTTTGCTCTTGAACTGCCGGCTCTCCTTCTGCTCCAGCTCTGGTGGAGTCGGCTTGGTGCCTCCAGCTGCTGCAGCTGCTGCTGTGGAGTTCATCTTACTGACTCTGCATCACAAAGAGACTGGATTCAAACCATCAACCAACCCGGAGACGACCTTACTGTCCTGTTTTACATGCAACGCCTCTGTTAATGTAATTATAGGAGATGAGTTTAAATACATTTAATAGCTTAATTTGGACAAAGCTACATTATTAATTGCATATTTTTATATTAATTTAGATAAATTATAGTAAAAAAGACCAAAAAGTTTGATTAGAAGAATATTAGAAGAATATTATAATTTATGAGCTGTGAATGTAATGTGTATGTCCTCCAACTGAAGAACACAAAACTGCAGCTTTAAATATATTTTCTATATTTTTTATTAATTTTTACTATCCTTATGTTGGTTTGACAATATTTTGTTGCAGAATATTTAGTTTCTCCTTTATATTCAGCATTTACCTTCTAAATAGTTCATATAGTCACTCTTTCAGCTGAAATAAAAAATGGACACACGACAAACATTTAGTATAATAAAAATCCACCTACCTGTTTCTGTTGGTTAGTCACAGAAAAGCAGCTGTGAGACAAAGGAGTCTCCTTTCTTCTCACAGTCTCTCTTTTCTGCGGTTTCTTCGCCTCAGCAGCGTCTTTACACGCCTGCGTGGACCGACCGCCTCTCCTCTCCCAGAGCCGATTTAGGCTGCTGGCTTACGACTAAGCCTCCATAACTCAGAACAACTGGAGAACAAGCTGGATTTCATTAATGTTAGCTTATATCACACCTGTTCAGGTTCCATAATTGACATATTTACCATAAATAAAGGGGAAAAAAAACATTTACTGTGGGAATCAAGGAAATACTGACCATCTAAACATCTGTTTTATTTTACACTGTTTTTATTTGAGTTTTCAGCTTCAAGCATTCTAGGTGAAACAATGGATGAATATGGCAAAGAAGCACCTCGTGTTTACTGCTAAGTATGGTGGAGGATCTGTGATGCTGTGGGCCCTGTTCTCTGTCAGGTGAGAAGATCTCACCTGTTCTTACTGGGAGTCTGACCAAGACCAGACTCAGAGTCTGGTTTCCATCTGTTTCTCTGTCTGTCCACCGGCCTGCTGAGCAGAGACAAACCTGCAGATGGCGCTGTGATCCAGGATAATCTAACAACCACAGACTGAGCATTTCTTTATTCTGTCATCCAGTCGGTGGATAAGTGGACAATCTGATTTGGACACAGTAAATTGTGAAAGCCTTGCTCACTGATCTGTTCTCTCTCCAAGCCAATCGGATCCAATTTGGCACAATTGGATTCAGAAAGGAGGCGGTTAGATCAACGGGCTGCAGATTACAGAACATGGCTGAGAGACTGGGTCAAAGGTCGGACCTCAGAACAAACCTCATGGGCTAAAAGAGATCTGCTCCAGGTTCAGACTTCAGGTATGGTTAAAAAATCCAGACTAAATCATGTCTCAGATTCTAGATCCGTCCCACACAGACGCTGATGTCTGCTGGCCTGAAGGTCGTCTGAGGACAGCAGCTTTACTCTGTGCTGCACGTCAGGAGGCCCCTGCATGAACACCTGATGTAAAGTTACAATCCAGACACCAAGCAGTGAAATCCTCCTTCACTGAGAGGCGTAACAGACAGAGAGTTATACATTCATGTATCATTTAATAGAAATCTACATGAGACCAGGGGAACATGAGGAACATCTGCTCAGATGGACAGCATCATTTACTGCCTGCATCATTTACTACCTGCATCATTTACTGCCTGCATCATTTACTACCTGCATCATTTACTACCTGCATCAATTACTGCCTGCATCATTTACTACATGAGAACAGTTAAAAAAGTTAAAGCTGTTTAAGAGGATGATATTATGATTTCATCTGAACTGAAAACCAAATACTGTTTTCATTATGATCCTAAAATTATTCCAGCCCCTGATCAGAACTGCTGAGATGCAGCTGTAATTTATTACTGAGATAAAATAAAACCGCTTTAAATTCCTGAACCTTCATCACTGCATGTTTGGAGCTGGGATGAGTATGAAGTAGCAAAAAGTGTTATATAATTTTCTTTTGATTAATACATACTATATACTTTTGACCATATTAAACCATTTCTGTTTAATATAAAAACACATAGTTAGCATGAATCAGTGTGTAAGCTTCATAAAAGCCTCATGTTGCAATAAAAGGAGATTCTTATGTCAGGAGAGACGTTTGTGTCTTGAAGCTTTGGCGGCCTCTGGTGGTTCAAAGATGAACTGCTGATAATTTATTTCAGAGATGGAATAAAAAACTTTATTTTTACATATAAAAAGTGACATTACAGGCTAAACAACTGTAAACTCTTAAAGAAATAGTCTATTTAATTTATTTTCATGTGTTTTTACAACAAACACAACATTCACACACTCACACACACATTAACGGGACTTCAAGGTTTCTCCTTCTGGTTCCTGCAGCAGAAAAACAGAACATGAGTTATTTATGTAATTCATCTCATTTTGAAAACAATTTAAATAAAGATACACTGGATATGTTTTAAATGTGTGACAAAAAGAGTTAAATACTCAGTAAAAACAAGTCAGATCTGTTTCTAGCTGACCTATTGACGCTCCGGCTGCTGCTACTTCCTGACGCGAGTCTTGCTGAGGTGAACTTCGCTGACAGGCAGCGGACCCGCCTGGTCGGCGTACGGGTTCCCACCGGCCTGCTGGATGAACTGCTGCAGGTCACACTGCCTCAGCTCCTTCTTCAGCCCATCGATCAGCTGCAGTCTGTCCTGGAGAGCATCAGAGGGATGATACGTTATCAGGAAGAACAACCTGCAGTCAAACCAGCACCATCAAACACCTTAACACAGACATGCACCAGGGGTGGAGATGTGGGGTGGCAGTGGTGAATGTTATTCTGATTCTCAGCTGCTGTGGATATTTTAAATCTGCAGGTTGAGGGAGACAAAAGTTTGCTGCAGAACATCAGCATGTTAGTCTGGGTGTTTCCACCCAATAAACCGGTAAAATCAGTTCCTCTCCAGCTGCTGTGTTTCTCTTTCTCTCTGCTCTGAGCCAAACCAAACAAACCCTTTGAAGAACCTGTTCCCCTCCTCGCCTGTGGGGGCGCTACACCAAGAACTACTGAAGGAAACGACACAAAAACCTCTGAAGACACTGAGCGCAACTTCCTTCTTCACCAAATAAAAATGGAGGCGTCAGATTTTAGTGGTTGTTGGATTTCTCTTCTGTCTTTGGCTAATGGTTCCGACTGACGCTGGAGTCTCGGGTTTGTTTTGGTTGTATTTACCCAGAATGCCCTGCACTGTGGTGCACTTCCTGTTTTTGGAGCAATCTCTGTCTGCTTGGCGTTCACACATCCATACAAACCGCCCCAGAGTTCACTTTAAGCGAACCGAGACCGAGGTTTGTATTCGGACCAGAGTTCACTGTGTTGAACTCTGATAAATATGATTCCATATTCACGTTTCCTCAGTCGGACTTTCTAAAACGGGCTTGAGTTGAATTAAAGCGGATTAAACAGGGACAATGTTCATTCACCATCTGTTTCACATTCATCTAAAATGTCTGTCATATTTCTGATGATTTTTAGTTCAAACAACAAGAAAAGTTTGAAGGATTATGTTTGATCAATGAAATATTTTTAATATCTAAACAAAAAGATTAAAAGGTGGATTTCAGATGTTTTTTTAGCTTCAACTTTTAAATCTAGAGTTAATGTTAAATATACAGAAAAGAGTTTTTGTTGTCAGTTGCAGCTGAAGAAATGGAAATATTTGTAATTTTTCTGCTTTGGTTTGGTGTTTGTGTCTTCAGTGTTGCTGTCATGAACAGTCAGGTTTTTTCTGAGCCTGATCTCCTTCCTTTGTAAATCCGGCTCCTTTGTCTGTTCCGGTTCTTCCTGTTCTCAGGTTTCTCTTCTTGCCTGATCTCAGTCTCTCTCTGTCTCACCTCCGTTCCCTTTGTCTGTTCCTTTTCTTACTACTAAGTCATCGTTTGTCAACTAAATGCATTTAAATGTTTCACATTTTAAAGGTTGTTCTGACTCATTATTGTCTCATTTTGATCTTAAAGGACATGTGGACACATCGGAGGGGACAGACATCCGTCTCTGACCTTTTGACTGGAAACTGCTCCGTCCAACCAGATCATCAGCTGCTCTGAAGAATCAAATAAAACTGCAGGTGTGACTGAGAGCCTGTCAGCACTTTGTAATCTAGAATTATGTTTGTTTAGTTTTTACAATTTAAATTTAAGACACTTTGGTTTGTGTTTCAGATCATTTTAAGAAAATACTATTTAATTTTCAGCTCACTTTGATTTGATGTTGGTTAATTCTGAACAATGACAGATTCACAATTCTTCATTTGCTGTGGGTCATTTCTGTGATGGATTATTTTCAAATTAAAAAAATAGCAACTGATGTAAAAAGTTACAGAGATGTATTCATCTTTCATCCATGATGCTGGCGCTCATCATCTATCAGCCAATCAGAGGAGACGTCAGCGACAAAGCCCTTACACCTTACTACGTTTTGGGCAGTTATATTCTGTGATTTCACAGAAGAGCTACGCTGAAATGACACAACTTTTTATGAAGTGTGTGATGCAGTGAGAGCTCTGGTGGAGCAGCTGCAGGTCGTCTGAAACAGAACCAACCATCATCCTGCTGCTCCTTCCTTCATCATGTCTGCCTGCAGTAACATCCGGCTGCTGGTCATGTGACGCCTGTGATTTTGATACATCCGAAAAACAAACTAATTCTAGTGAAAAAAACTTTTTATCAAACTTTTTTCAGAATTGGCGTATCCCCATTATTTATTTTTATAATTTAATTTTGCACAGCTCTCTGGTCAGTGGAAACGCAGCTACTGCTGTCTCATAGACTTTCCCTCTCAGTCCTTCTGCCACCCATCCCGGCTGAAACTCGTCTCCATCCGTTAGCTTAGCATGACGCAGCATCTCCAGCAGCTGCATCCTGGGTAGTTTGTGTTTCCTGATTCTCCCTCAGCCAGAGTGGTAGTGATGTGGTATACCTTTACCGTTTCTTCTGCCGTCTGCAGCTTCCACTGCGTCTCAGCCAGCGCCGCGTCCAGATCTTCCCCCAGCTGCAGCCGCTTGTGGAGCTCCTGGGTCAGCGACCTGAGGGCCTCGTCGGTCAGCCGGGCCTCCTCCTCCTCGGCGCTCGGGTCGCTTGTCTGGGCCCGGTCCTGTAGGTCCTGCTGCAGGTGGTCGGAGCGGCTCTGGAGCACCTTGATCTCATAACTCTGGTCGTCTATAGAGGAGTGAATCTGTTCCAGGCGTCTCTGCATGTCTGAAGAAGACAGGATGATGGTTTTAGAGACAGATTAGTACAAAAACACTTTAAAGATCTGCTGCTGTATCGACCTTCCAGACCTCTTAGTTCTTCTGGTTCTGGTCTGCTCTACAGAACCAGAACCAAGCATGGAGAAGCAGCATTCAGCTTCTATGCATCACAAATCTGGAATAGCTACTTAGAGTTGATTTTGAACCATAATAACTGGAACATTAACCAGCATATTTGATAAATATCAATGATTTAGATGATGGAAAATCTAATGTTTGTTTCTCAGAAACAAACTTTATGTTGTTTTTATGACTTTTTTGTGTTTTCATGATTTAAAGCATTTGAATCCTGCCTCACTGCAGAAATGTGCTTTACAAATAAACTTGATTGATTGAAACCTGTGAGGATTCAAACACCAGATATTAAAACCCAAACAGCTCTGAGTTGAGGATGGCTGTGGACGTCTACCTTGCTCCCTCTCCAGCTCCACCTTCAGCTCCTGCTCCCAGTTTTCTCCGTACATCAGCTCCACTTCGTACTGCTTCAGCCGGTACTCCAGCTCCTGCAGGTCGTCTGTCAGGTCCGGAATCGGATCAGGAGCAGCAGAGGTCGTGACCTTCTGCTCAAATAACTCGGTGTCTTTCTCCAGAGCTTCTATCTGAGCCTCCAGGTCCTGCAGCATCTTCTGCTGCTGCAGGATCTGCCTCAGCATCTCCTCCTTCTCAGGATCAGAATGTTTCTCTTCTGCTGATTCCTCCAGACTGGGAGACCAGTTCCTGCTGGGTCTGTTCCTCCTGGGAAACGTTGAGGGGCCCAGGTTGAAGGAGAGGGCTTTCTGAGGGCCCTTATGCTGAGGTTCTGGTTCTGAGGGCACCAGCAGGGGGCGCTGGCTCTCCTTGCTGGGTTTGTGTGGCCCTTCGCTGAGGCTGGGGCCGGTTTTCCGCAGGACGAACTGGACCTCTGCAGCCAGCTGACCCATCTGAGCCAGCAGCTGCATCGGACAGTCATCAGCAACCAGAGGGTGCTCCGAGCCCCGAAACTTCCTGATCAGAACATACCGACCCGTCTGGCCTGTGTGCAGAAGGAAAACGTCAATCGTCAGTAGTAAAGTTTCATTTTTTATGCTTACAGAGCAACCAGCAAGCTGAAGAGATTTTTAAAAAGTCATTAAACACAATTTTTGTACTAAAAGTAACAGAAATCTGCCATTCTCAGTGGCATTTATCCCAGGAGTTCCCCAGGGCTCCGTCTTTGGTCCACCTGCTTTTATTATCTGTTTTCTACCTTTAGGTCTCATTTTATTGGAATTAAAACAAACAGCTTAATTGCTATGGTTCATAAATGTACATAAACTCTCCTACTTTCCTTCTGAAATCAGTTCCCTTCAGCATGCAGTGCTTTCAGAAAATGTTTCTAATAAATGTCCTGAAAACTGGAGCTGAGCATGCTCAGAAAGACCAAACCTTAAATTGCATGTTCAGTGTGAATGTTCACCATGACTCAGTGTTTCATAGGGATGAAGAGGAACTACCTACCGATGGCCTGAGCGAGAGAGATGACGACTTCCTGACAGGAAGTGTTGAGAGAAAGGCCGCAGACGACCCTGACGACCCCGTCCACCCAGACCTTCAGCTCCATCCCGACCCGACCGCGACCTGCAGGAAGAAACGGCAAAAACACTCGGGTCAATAAATACACACATTAAAGCAACAGGAAACACTAAAAACTTATAATTTAATGTGAAAATGTCTTCAATAACAGACACAGATTCACTGTAATAATTGTACTATAAAATAATAAACCTAAATCTGAAACTCTATAGGTCATTATCAGTAATATGCCTGATAACAGAAAACCAGCATCAGCTCAGTGTTTTAGCCATGATCTCCAGGACTTTTACACCTGACAGCATCTGACCTGAGTTTGGATCTACGACTGATAACAGATTTATATATTTGTATCATTAGAGGAGCTCCGTGATCACATTTGATCCATTTCTATTTATTCCTGCTGCCAATAAAGCCTTCCTGCCTGCAGGTTGTTTCTAAACATGAAGTGTTTCCCCTTTGAACATCAGTCACATGTCTGCAGGTTTCTGCTGAAGGCAGGAATGCTGCAGAACGCGCCGACATTCCTGCAGGTTGAGGCTCCGCCTCACATACCTCCAGTCTGTTTACTCTGCTTCACGTCAGTTTCACCTACAACCAGTACCCACTGATGGAAACCTGCTGTATTTACAACCAGTACCCACTGATGGAAACCTGCTGTATTTATTTACATGTGGTTCTATTTTATATTCATTTAAGGACTTAAAGCTGGTTTTGTTGCTTTATAAAATATTTTCTGCCCCTCAACAGTCATCTCAGTGATTTTAAATGGTCAAAAACTGAAACTTTACAATTATAAAAAGTTATTTTGTTGTTTTTTAATGTTTCATGATTTTATGTTTTTGAGATTTTATCCAAATAAAAAGTAGGCAAACAAAAATATATTAAATTTACTTCCTTTCATTTGAAATTTAGTGTTTTAGTAGAGTTTCTATGTTTTTGCATATTAGAAAAATATGTCAAATTTAATGAAGAATATGTTTTATTTTTTTATGTATTTTATTCAGATTTTCTACATGAAATAAATGAATTAACGACATTTTATTTAAATGAATAGAAATAATAATTCTACAGTCCAGAAAACAAACTCAGCAACACAAGAAATACATTAACTAAAATGTTTTATCTGATTCTACTCTTAGTATTGTAATAAATACAGACCTGCCTGTTTTATGTAAAGAGTTTAAAGTTACAGACAAAAAGCTCAATAATTATTTCTTCTGATCAGAGGAAGTCAGACACTCACCTTCCTGTTCAATCTTCTCTGTTCAGGCTGAGTGGAGGATGGCTGGGCGGCTGAATGAATGCGACCGAAACGTTCAAACACAAACTTCATCCAGGAAGGAGGAGGAGGAGGAAGAGGAGGAGTGAAGCTGAGGAATGCAGCTCATCTGGCTGTTCTGCATCAAGTGATGTCAGCCTGAAGGTTCGGGGCCTTAATGAGGACTTTTACTGAGAGCCACTTTCATCTCAGGTGCTAAAGGTTTAGTTTAACCAATCATGACCTCTGACCTTATCATCTTTTATTTTTCATTTATTTTATGTTTTCATTAAATTACTGATCTGAGGACAGAAGTAAATAAATTGTGTATTTCTTATTGTTTGTTCTCCCATCTTTTTCCAGCTGTCTGACTAACAGGCCTAATATTAGACCCAGAATTACCTGCTCTGAGTTTTTCCTGGTTTTTCTGATCTTGCTGGTTTAAAAAAAAATGTAAATCTGCTGTCAGTGATGTCACTGTGACACGTCATTTGGCTCCGCCCACTAAGAGAAGCCGGAGTGTCTCCAGATCTGCAGCATTCCAGGCTGCAGGACGAGTTTGTGTCTCTGTGGCTGTTTGTGTTTGAATCTGAGTGTCAACAACTCAGAACAGATTCCTCAGACTCTGAAGTTTTATAATCAGGACCACTGACAAAAAAAGGTTTATGCACCGTCAAGCACATCTGGTCTTAAAACGCAAGTATACGCAGTAAATGTGGGACAATCTTTCTGTGTGGAGAAAGTCCAGGTTTACACATCGTATAACAAGGAGGAAACAGTTATATGATTCTTTTCATATACTGATAACATAATTGATTAAAGTCAGAATTGTTTTTGTTTGTTTCATTTACCCTAATATTG